ACCAAATTTTCTTATATTCTTAATAATTTTCTGCTTATCACGTCTAAAAAAAAGGAGCCAATTCTACTTGCTTTTCTCTCAAAATTGGGTCCAAACCTACGGTGGGTTCATCGAGAATTAGAAGTTCGGGCTTATGCATCAATGCTGCGACAAAGGAAACCCTCCTTCGTTGACCTCCACTCATGTTCTTCACCAACTGATTTGCTGGAGGCAGTTGGAACAATTCCGAGAAAAACCTATGTCTCGTTTCTTGGAAATAACATGGATAAACTGTGGTTGTTTCAAATTGACATAGTAGAATATCTTTCGAGCAAGACAAAATTAGAACCGCTTGAAAGACTTACTTAAAAGTAAAAGTAAAACTTGTCAGAATTTACATGATATTTCGCGCGCAACAACTACAAGTTTTCTTATCCCATATATTCAGTATCTTACCGATCTCTTTATCGTCAAGCCCATTGATCCTGCCGAAGTAATAAAGAGCATCGCTCGTAGAAAATTGTTCGACTAAAGAGGTATCCTGCAGCATATAACCCACCCGAGGCCCTGGAATTCCGCAGCCCATACTGCCCGGAGATCCCCCCAAGACACACACCGCTCCACTGTCGAGATAACGTAATCCGACGATACAGGACAACAGGGTTGTCTTGCCACATCCGCTGGCCCCCAACAGCGCGTATCTGTTTGATGAAAATATTTCGTTTACGAGATACTGCTTGGGTCTATATAAATTTTATATATGTTACATTACACAAAAATTTTTAATAATTGGAATACTATTGCAACAGCAAATTCCGGAGACTAAATCAAGTAAAAAAAGTCCTGTACTACTTTTCCCTCCGACAAACAGTTATTGAGATATTATTGAGATAAGCTAAATATTGAAAAAGTTATAAATTTTCTCTTGAATATCTCAAAAAGTATTAAGCAAATAAAAAATGTTTCACACAAAAGTTCATATTAATTGGTAGAAAGAGTTAGTATATTAAACCATAGGGATTTTATTTAAAAAATTGAAGATGACCTTCACGTAATCTTCAAGCAAGTATGCAAGGTTAAATTCATAAAACCATCTTATTTCCCCCTCGAAACCCAACTTTTGCTGAGATCATTTTTTGCTAGCCGTCTTCCCCAAAAAGATATATGCGTGGATCATTTAAAATGTGACACCCTATATACCATTCCCCAAAGAGGTTCCTATTTTACAAACGATGACAATTTAAGCAATTGATGAAGGTGCTCGTGAAAGAGCGTGATGG